TAAATAAAATGTAAGTTTATGAGGTACATCCTGTAATTCAGACACAGGGAGTTCCGATACAATAACCCTTTTGGAGAGCACGTCGAGTGACACGTTCAAACCCGACGTAATAACTCTTTCGAAGAGCACTCCACATGAGCAGAGCGATGACTCTGAATCGTCCACTCCACCTTTTCAATTTATGATTGTGAAGAAAGGCCAACATAAAGTGAAGAGAAAGAAGAAAAAGGAGAAGGCCTCAGTTGGAGTTAGAACAAAGTTCGGTTTTCTAGTAATCATATTTAGATGTTTATTCGAAATCCAAAGTATTTGATTGAAAATAAGTTGAATTTTATTGAGAACTAATCCGTAGTTCAGTTTGCTACCATTTTCTTTTCAGCTAGAACAAGGATTCACTAATTTGATATCTCTAGGAAATGTAAGTCAGAACATATGCATGCTTCATTTTTATTTTGGGTAATTAAGCCAACGTTAAATTTTTCATTCAGTAAGCGTGTCCTCTTGCAAGTACACAATCAATTCCATCCGAAGAACAAGGGCAGAACTTTATCGCAGGGGTCATTTTTCAAAAATTTTATCGGTCTCTATATTAGCTCACAACTAAACTCATTTTCCGAGCTGAATCCTAAAATACCAAAATCACTGATTTACCAAAAGTTTCTGGATGAAAATTTCGAAAAATATGTGAAAGGAAAGACATACATCGACACTTTTAGAATCCCACAAACATGTGACGAAATTTTTGTGAGGTATTTCTTCAGACAAATTTCGAATTTTTAACAAGCAATTTTTCATGAATAGCCTAACACTGTTTGAAATATTCTGATGCCGCACAGTATGATGATGTTAGATAAAATTTAAAAATTCTAAGCATGCGAGTTGTTTTGGTAAAAGAAGGGTGGGATGATTGTAAAAATTGACAATTTTGTCTGTTGGGGTTATTGGATTGCGCGAAATATCCAATTTTCTAAAACGCGTAATGGCGGCACAAATTAATCTGGCTCGGAACTATAGCTAACAAAACCCGGGTCGAGGTCGGCGACCATTGCGGTTCAAAGTGGGTATGTTGCGGCCATTGCGACCCACATCGGGTATGTTGCAACCATTGCGACTCAAAATGGGTATGTTGCGAGTTTAAGCGACCAAAGAAAATTTGTGCGACTTTGCGCGACCCAAACAAGATATTTTGCGACTTTGTGCGGCCCAAAAAAAGTATATTGCAACCATTGCGACTCAAAATGGGTATGTTGCGAATTTGCGTGGCCAAATAATTTGCGCGATTTTGCCCCGCCCACAAACAAAATTTAGAGACTTTGCGCGACCAAAGTGATTTACACGACTTTGTGTGACGGGTAGAAGTTCGCAATTAGAGGCTCGGTATGTTTCGAGCGACCCCACCCAAGGTGTCCATGGTTTGACTATGTTCGACCGAGGAAAAGTATGTCGACCAAGTTTGACCGAAGAAACACTTTTATATTGAGGTTGATCGAGAAGTTTTCCCGGCCGAGAAGAATTTCAATTGAGAAAAAGTCGATTGTGTTCAACGCAAGAATTTTCAAAAGTTTGACGCAAAAAAAAGCTGAATGAGCTCAATTTTGAGCAGAGTGAGGCCAGTTTTTAAGATTCTTTTTCACAGTGTGTAGTTGCTTTAACATTTAAAAAGGCTGTTTGATTAAAAAAGTGTTGGATGCGTAATAAACTGCATTTTTACAACACGCAGACCGAGAAGTCTACTTAACTCAATTTTTAATAATTTACCTGGTTTTCAAATTTGTTTTTTATTGTTATTTTTAGTCAAGAAAATCTGAACTATTTTTGTATCCTAAGTTCTGAACTATTTTTGTTTAAAAATAAGGTTTCTCTAAGCTATGGCTAAAATTCCTATTAACTTCTTTTTGTTTACCAGTTATCCTTAATGTGAAATGTCTGCTCAAGAATTTTCATATAAAACAAAGAATTTTTTTGTTTAAAGAAATTTTAGCCATAGTTTAGAGAAAACCTTATTTTTACTTCTTTTTTTGTTTATCAGTTATCATTAATAATGTCCGATTTGAATAATCCTTTAGCAAAGTAACAGTGAACCTATTTTCTGGAAAGTGTAAATTGATGGAAAATCCGCGGAAACTAAAAATCAGCAGACGGAACAGCAAATATTGATTTTTGGGCGGAGTCAATGAAAATAACCCGGGATCTTGTTGAACTTACTAAAACTGAAATTGAAATGGCTCTCTCGTCTCTTGTTCCGGTTGGATTTTATTATTTTTGTCGTTTTTCTGGGTGACTAGCTCAAGATAGATTCCCGGAAGACGTTAAAGCACCTATCAAATAAAACAAAAAAACATAATATTATTTTTTCGTTAAAGTAAAAATTTTAGAAATAACTTGACGAAAACAAATTTTCATTTTTTTTTGGTTTATCAATTTTCATCAATTTTTCCATTTGAAAAATCCTATAGCTACGTAAACAGTGGAGCTATCCTCTGGAAAGTGGAAACTAATGAAACATCTCCCCGAAATTATAAGTCAGCAGACAGAACAGCAAATTTTGATTTTTGGGATGTCAACCAAATAGTGCTCTACATTATAGAAAGAAGCTTTTCGAAAAGAAAAAACATTGTGTTTCAATTATGTTACTGTTGGTTGTCTGAAACTGCTTAGAAACTGAGAATCATCGAAAAGTTTTGAAAAAACCCAGTTTGAGATGTTCGATTCTTCTTACATTTTCATCCCAATTGTTTATTTGATTCCTATAATGTTTTTGTTGACTGTCCGTAATATCCATTGTTTTGGCAATCATCGGTAATTTCAGAATTTTTCTGAAGTTTTGAAGTTTTTGCAAAGAAATTTTTGCATTTTTCTAGCTTTCTTATTTTGTGGAGATGATTTTGTCGTTGCCCGAAAAACTTGCTGGTATATTTTGGGACTATGTGCAGGCCTTCTTGTGGTGGTCCTCTATATCATAAGCAAGTATGTTGTTCTAAATAGTTGTACTATAAAAACGGAATTAAGCTGTGTTATTTTGCCAACTGCAACTGTTTAAAAATTTTGCCAGCAAAAAATCCGACAATAAAATCCAATTAATATTGAAATTTTTTGTTTCGACATTAGGTTCGACAGTGCTGTAAACTTGTGTTTGATTTTATGTTTTGATTTTGTGTTCGACTTTATGTTTCATTTTTGTGTTTGAATAAATTTTTCATCTTTGTGTTCGACTATAGGGCCTTCTCGACTATGTTTTTAGTCGAACTCTGACATGTATTCGACTCGCATCGGTCGAAACAAAACCTCGCATGTGTTTGACTCAGCGGTGTCTTCTTATGTGTTTGAACCGCCTCGGTCGAAAAAAAATTGCAATGTTCAGACTTTGCAGACTTATATTCAGATTTTATAGACATATGTTTAGACTTTGCAGACTTTGACATGCGTGGCAAATATGATTTTTTGGCGCCATGCGGATCGATTCAGACTTATTAGATCTGAAAATAAAACCGCGACCTCGTTTTGCAGACTGATGTTCAGACTTTGTAGACTTTATGTTCAAACGTTGCAGACTTATGTTCAGACTTTGCAAATTGTGTTCAGACGTTGCAGACTTATGTTCAAACTTTGCAGCCTTTTAGTTCAAACTTTGAGGACTTATGCTCAGACATCACAGACTTATGTTCAGACTTTGCAGAATGGGAGCTGCGTGACGACGAGGAATTTTAACGCGCACGGGGATCAATTCAAACTTGTTAAGTCTGACATAAAACAACGACCTCGATCCGGGTTATAATGCGCGACTAATGTTGCGACTTGCGCGAGCCAAGTTGCGACTTATGTTTCGTCCAACTCAATTTGCGGCGTTGCGCGGCCCATGTTGCGGATTTGCGCGACGCATGTTGAGACTATGCGTGACGCATGTTGCGACTTTGCGCTAACCATGTTGCGACTTCGCGCCACCCATGTTGCGACTTTTCGCGACTCATGTTGCGAGGTTTTGCTACTCATGTTGCGACATAGTGCGACTCATATTGCGACTTTGTGGGGACCAAATTAGCTATGTTGCGACTTGTGCCACCCATGTTGCGACTTTGTGCGACCCAAGCCTCTTGCGCTTTGATAAAAGTTTGGTCGCATAAAGTCCATTTCGGCGACCCATTTCGGTCGCAACATGAGTCGCGGACCTGGGCCCGAAAAACTAAAGCATATTGAAATTATAATTATGGCTAAAAACTCCGCTTTTTTTTCAGTTTTTCATCTAATTCAACTTCGTATCCAGCCCTGCAAAAATTTCGATTTTCTTTTTTTTTTTTCACCAATAGTACTGGCATATTAAGCGATTATCGGCGGAACCTCCACAAATCTGATTCATGCTTAATATACCACTTCAGCCGAAATTGAATAAAGCTGAGCGGAGCTGAGCACGCAGCTGCGACCTGCCAATATCATGATTTGATCAATTGTTCAACACTTGCGAACAATTGCGTTTCTTGTGATACCAAAAGAAGTTTGTGATACCAAAAGAAATCAACTTTTTTGTTCTTTCTTCATTATTTCTGGTCAGAAACGTCTTGGAAGCGAGCACTTTTTATCAATGAGTGCCAATAAGTGAGCTGATGACAATTATTTAAATTTGCTTCTACTTCAAAAAAAGTATACTGAGTTTTTCGCGCTAAAAACTTTTTGTGATTTGAGCTTTTCAGTCCGCTTCAAACTAAGTTGTTAAACGTATGAAAATCCCCCTAATTAATTATTAATTTATATTCATAAATTCAAGAGCCTACTGTCTTGATGAAGTGTTTTCAATAGGTGTAAAAACCTTTCAGTATGTTCATTCGAAAATGTTATTTTGTAAGCCCAAATAAACCATGGATGAAAACATATCATATGAAAATTTGGGTTTGTAGAAAGAAATCACTAAAAAACAGAGCTGTGGTGACAAGTAAATTAGTAAGTTATGAGTAAATTCAATAGAAAAAAGTTTCAAGCCATTATACTTCGCAAAATCATTATTTGGATTTTTATAGATATGCTGGCAACCTGATTTTTTGTATCATAATAGCATAGCAGCATGGTTTATATAGTCAAAATTACCTCCTGATAAAACCACAACTATGTTTTTACAATCTTTAAAGTACTTTTCAATGTTTTCAGGGTTCATAAGCACCGCTGCAGCTATAGCCGCCGAAGGCTCAACTGCTATTTTCATTCTGTACATTATAAACTTCACTGCTTTGGCTGTTTCTTCATCAGGAACGGATATGACATCATCGACATATTTCAAAATGTGATCAAAAGTCAAATCACTTAGAGTCGTGTTTCCGAGTCCGTCGCAAAGAGTTTTTGGGAGGCTCTCGGGTTGAGTTAGTCTTTTTTGGTCAAAAGACAGCTTAGCATTTGTGGCATTGCCATGCTCGACTCCGTAGATTTTGATTTTTGGGTTTCGCGATTTCAAAGCAGTAGCGCTGCCGCTGAAACAATTTTTTTGCTCTCAAGCAGATATACTAGTTAAAACCATTGCAATGATTTTCAATATTGTTCAAGAGTCTTTGAAGAGTCGGTAAAGAGAATCTGAAAACTTAAAGTATTTAAGAAAATAGGGGAGTCGATAAAGTTCCTAATTTTACCCACCCAAGAAGTCCTCCACCTCCGCATGGTAAAATGACAGCATCAACATCCGGCACTTGGTCCAAAATTTCTAGACCGACTGTTCCTTGACCGCACATAGTGCTCTCTTGGGCAGATGACGCTATAAAATGGGCGCCCGTTTCTTTTTGAATTTGTTCAATCATTGAGTCCCGTTGCTTCAAAGAGATCTCTTTAACTACAATACCCCCCTCCCTCCCCTCCAATGGTATCAAGTGAAAAAACCCACCCGTTGGAAGAAATAATTTAACTGTTTAGCATGTACGAGCTTTGTACAAATCAACAACTTTCCTCCTTTTTACAGCAATAGGGATAGTTAAAAGTTAAAGAGATTCCTTGAAAGAACCGTCGTAAAGGGACACTTTGGCCCCGTACTCTTGAGCACACTTTCTTTTGATTTGTGAACCCGTTGATGGGCTTAAGACATGGCATTCTAAATTGTGTAATCTGGCAGCATAAGCTAAAATAGTTCCATGGTTTAAAATTTGGGCTTTTTACCAAAATAGCAACTTTGTCGTAGTTTTGCAAAAAATGAAAAACGCCCGAAGTCGGAAAATGCCCAAAATTGATGCTCATGATTGAATAACCCTGATGGAGCTAGCATTTTGGGGTGGGCGGTGTTTTAAAACAAGGTTCCAAAATCCATTATCTCGAACCTTCTTTGAGTTGTAAGGCTGGTAAACTGTTCCGTTAAAACAGGGTTCCATCTTTTGTTGTAAGCAGGATTCATGTTTTTGACCCCTATTATTAGCATACTATTTTGAGCCCTGTTAAAAAGCTGGTTAATAACATTCCATGTTAAAAATACTGGTTTATAGTAAGCATTCCTTAGTTGTTCAATTAAATAAATTTCCCACAAAAAAGAGAGCCGTATGCTGTAAATAACAAAGAATGTTGCGACCACAATATTTTTTGATGCTAAAAGTTTTCTGCTATTTTTTTGCAAAGTAGCAGTGGCTTTAAAGCTTCAGAAATTTGGTTCTTAAGTGAGTTATATCCTCATGGGTATACTCATAGAGTAATTTCAGATAAGGTACACCGTCTGCTCGTCACGCTATCGTATTTTTGGCCGGATAGATTCGTGCAACTTCTTAGTCTAATACCAATCTTAATCTTACTCTTATATCTCCTAATCTCAATAGATCTAGTGTACACCGGTTTATGCGAGTTAGTTACAGAATGAGAACAACTGTATTCTAAGCTTAATTCAAATTGTTCTGGTGTTGAAACTACAAGTAGTTTCAACACTTACAAATAAGTTGGTTGTTAGTTTGATGGAGTATGATTGGTTACTATTCAAAATTTTATAGAGATAAAATATCAGAATAATATCCAATAATAAATTCTAGTTTAGATCTGGTTCCATAAGGCTGAATGGAGGTTCACTACAGTGAAAACTGACCTATAATCAGAGATAAGTCAATAAGTAAGGCTAGAAGGAAAACCTCGCACTGAAGTGTCAGAAAAAAATTCAGACAAGCTTTCCTCGACATTGAATTGATTTTTTTTTGGTTGGAATTTTTCCTTGGGGCTAGGAATTTGAATCGCGGATGTAATGGAATTAGCATGATACCAGCACAAATGATGCCTACAGGTGTTCTCTGAGACGCACCCCCTAAGGCATTATTACTTCCCAACCTTTGAAAGTAATGGTAGCCAAAAAAAATTGCGCCGGACCTTAATTTCGGAGACAACACCTTAATTTCGGATTTCTGAAAAGTTTAATAAAAAAAATTGCTTGTTAGCTTTTCCCTTCAACTCCCCTACAAATCAGAGAAATTTTGAGGAGAAGTTTTACTAAGGGAAGTTTTCTCATGACAACTCAATTTGAACAAATGAAATAGGGCCAATAACAAACCTAAGCCGCCTCCGAAGTTTCCGCTACTGCGGGTCATCACACAAGTGGCGTTTGGGTTCTCTTCTTTCAATTTCAGTACTGAGTTCATTGCCCCTCTAATTTTGAAACTGCCAGTCTTCTGTAAGTTTTCACACTTGAAGTAAACCTGAAAACAAACTAATCTGCAGATCCATAAGAAGGATTTGCGACCTATAAGAACTTCGTATTTTACTGCACCCGTTTTTTAACCCATGGGTCTAGTAAGAGAAAAATAAAACCAGCGAAACATTTTTATAGGATATGTAGGGAGATGGGGGGGGGGGGGGGGGTTGAGTTGTTGTAGCGTTGCATCATATTAGACTTTTCCAGTAAAAAAATTTTTTTCTGAAAGCCATGATTTGACGACTTCTCAATCAAATTCGAAAACTGAGTTCATTGCCGCTCTCAGAAAACCGCTGAAAACCGCTCTGAAAAAACCGCTGAAAACCGCTCTGAATTGTGTGTTATTCAAACTCATTTAGCCCATGTTAAACAATAGATACTGATTTTGAAATCTACTTTTGATATTTGCATTATTGTACTTTCACATCATTAAATTGCGTCTCACCGACTGAAAAAGCTTAGATCTGTCAAAAACCAATGTTTAACAAGGAACAAACGCAAATCAATCAAATTGAAACCAATCAAAATACACCTGCTACCGTTGAGCTCTTAAGCGCTTTAAAATTAGGCAACTACCCTTTTCGTGTTTTACATTGCACTCTTTGACCTTCCAATTGGTACGAGTAGCGAGAAGAACTGGGTTTTTATTTCTACTCGACGACTCCATACCCGGGTCGCTTACCCAGGTTGTACAGTTGATCTAGAACTCTAACGATACAGAAAAATAGTTGTTCGCTTGCATCAAGAACTAGAATAACGTGCGTACGGCTACTTTTTCGCACATACTTGTTGTATGAGCTTCAAACCAAGATTTGCCGACCTCTCGAGAGCGCCTCACGTGTTGCGTAAACTGCGAGCAATACGATTTACTAGGCAGGAGGCAATTAACCGAAAAAGTATGATGACCTTAATTTCCGTAAAACTTGTGTTAGTTTTCAGTTCCAGACATAAGAAGAACCAGATTGATGTCCGTACAAGAAAATTTTAAAAATTCAGGCAGAATAACTCGGTTTTTTTGATTGCGGACTCGCTTTTGTGCTCAAATAAACATTTTACGCACAAAAACTCCTTGTAAACTTTGATATGTTGTCTATAACGTTGTCCAGGTTGAGTCTTTCACTTAACACATTCAAAAACCAAAAACAAGTGTTTTTCTAAGGCAAATGTTATTTTTCATAACCTAAATTAAAGCTACTTTAAAAAAACAGACTTCTTCTCTCAACCAGCAAGTTTCTAAGTAGCTTTCTAGCCATATGCAAAAGTTACGTTTTTGAAATACTTTTCTGAGTGAAAATGCTAGCACCCAAAGATAGCTTATATCACCCAAATTAGTTTATCTGCGTAGTAACTGTCGCTGACACTCTTCTGTTTTCTTATGATAGAAAGACCTTGGTTGATTTATTTTTCGATTCTTGATTTATTTTTCGACACAAAGCTTCGACTCTTTTCTTTTCCCCCACCTCATACGAGCATCAACGTCATGGGGTAGCGAGTTCTTTTACAAGGCGAACTAAGACTAAATATGTATCCATTGCCTAATTATTCCGTACGTCAATTTTGATAGCAATCCAACAATGTGAGCAAAATTTTACTCGTAAAATTTTGCAGGTAGTGGAAGTACAGAGAGCCAAAAAATCAAATCGAACATTTTTGTTTTTTTTTTCCTGTAGAAAAAAATGATATTTATAGAACTTCATACCATAGAACAAAGGGTTATCTAATAGTTTCATAGTACCAAAAATTGTTCTTTGCTCTGTTTTTCACACAACTTTTTTTGTGTGAAAAATTTTTTTAATTCTAGAGTGGCAAAAACCAAAAAATAAAAAGTTACCGAGTGAATTGATTGTTGCATTTTTCATAATACCATTTTTCAATCACAAAATTATTAAAGTGAATGAAACTGCCTGACCAGAATTTTTCATGGTGCCAAGTCGTATGATACGCTTTTTTGTCAACCCGGAGGAACAATCGAACTTTTTCTCGGGGTGGTTCTTTTAAATAGCCATTTTTCAATTGAATTGTTTCGCCATCTGCTGAAAAATAACCTCCCTGATCTCAAAACCAAAACGGTAATTTACCTGCAATCAGTTTTCGTAAAATTTGAAACGCGTAAGCGGTGATTTAGTTTGGCCCAAAGTTGTACTACTGAGTTAGGTCCTTTTGGTTAATTCATAGAGTAATTTCGGATAGGGTACACCGTCTCCTCGTCACGCTATCTTATTTTCGGCCGGATAGATTCGTGCAACTTCTTCGTCTAATACCGATCCTAATCTTACTCTTATATTTACTAGTCTCAGGGTGTTTAACTAGTCTCTGCTAGGCTCAATAGACCTAGAGTATACTGGCTAATTGCGATTGCTAAAGGTCTCTTGGAGAGGTAACTAATTTCTAAGTTAAATTCAAACCTCTCTGGTGCTGAAATTACAAGTAGTTTCAGCACTCACAAATAAGTGTGTTGTTAGTTAGATGGATCGTGATTGGTTAATATTAAATTTTTTATAGAGATAAGATATCCAATTTATAACCAATAATAATTATAGTTTATATCTGGTTCCAGGAGGTTGACTACAGTAAAAACTGACCTATAATCAGAGATAAGTCAATGAGTAAGGCTAGCAGGAAAAATTCGCACTGAAGTGGCAGGAAAAAATTCAGACAAGCTTTCCTCGACATTGAATTGATTTTTTTTGCTTGGAATTTTTCCTTGGGGCCAGGAATTTGAATTGCGGCTGTAACGGATTTAACATGATACCAGCACAAATGAAGCCTACATGTGTTCTCTGAGACGCACCCTAAGGCATTATTACTTCCCAACCTTTGAAAGTGATGGTAGCCAAAAAAAATTGCGCCGGACCTTAATTTCGGAGACAACATCCCCAACAAAATGAAAATTTACGATTTCTGAAAAGTTTAATAAAAAAATTGCTTGTTAGCTTTTCCCTTCAACTCCCCTATAAATCAGAGAATTTTGCATTATTGTGCTTTCACTTCATTAAATTGCGTCTCACCGACTGAAAAAGCTTAGATCTGTCAAAAACCAATGTTTAACAAGGAACAAACGCAAATCAATCAAATTTAAACCAATCAAAATACACCTGCTACCGTTGAGCTCTTAAGCGCTTTAAAATTAGGCAACTACCCTTTTCGTGTTTTACATTGCACTCTTTGACCTTCCAATTGGTACGAGTAGCGAGAAGAAGTGGGTTTTTATTTTTACTCGACGACTCCATACCCGGGTCGCTTACCCAGGTTGTACAGTTGATCTAGAACTCTAACGATACAGAAAAATAGTTTTTCGCTTATATCAAGAACTAGAATAACGTGCGTCCGGCTACTTTTTCGCACTTAATTGTTGTATGAGCTTCAAAACAAGGGTTGACAACCTCTCAAGAGAGCCTCACGTGTTGCGTAAACTGCGAGCTATACGATGTACTAGGGGCAGGAGGCAATTAACCGAAAAAGTATGATACCCTTAGTTTCCGTAAAAACTTGTGTTAGTTTTCAGTTCCAGACATAAGAAGGCCCAGATTGATGTCCGTTTAAAAATTGAGATAAAATATCTAGGTTTTTTTGATTGCAGACTCACTTTTGTGCTCAAATAAACATTTTACGGAAAAAAAGTCTTGTAAATTTTGTTATTTTGTCTATAACGTAGTCCAGGTTGAGTCTTTCACTTAACACATCCAAAAACCAAAAGCAAGTGTTTTTTATGAAGCAAATGTTATTTTTCATAACCTAAATTAAACCTACTTTAAAAAAAACAGACTTCTTTTCTCAACCAGCAAAAGTTTCTAAGTAGTTTTCTAGCCATATACAAAAGTTACCTTTTTGAAATACTTTTCTGAGTGAAAATGCTTGCACCCAAAGATAGCTTATATTACCCAATTTAGTTTATCTGCGTAGTAACTGTCGCTGACACTCTTCTGTTTTCTTATGATAGAAAGACCTTGGTTGATTTATTTTTCGATAAAAACACAAAGCTTCGACTCTTTTCTTTTCCCCCACCTCATACGAGCATCAACGTCATGGGGTAACGAGTTCTTTTACAAGGCGAACTATGACTAAATATGTATCCATTGCCTAATAATTCCGTACGTCAACTTTGATAGCAATCCAACAATGTGAGCAAAATTTTACTCGGTGTAGTGGAAGGACAAAGAGCCAAAAAATCAAATCGAACATTTTTGTTTTTTTTCCTGTAGAAAAAAATGATATTTATAGAACTTCATACTATAGAACAAAGGGTTATCTAATAGTTTCATAGTACCAAAAATTGTTCTTTGCTCTGTTTTTTACACAACTTTTTTTGTGTGAAAAGTTTTTTTCATTCTAGAGTGTGGCAAAAACCAAAAAGTAAAAAGTTACCGAGTGATTTGATTGTTGCATTTTTCATGATACCATTATTCAATCACAAAATTATTAAAGTGAAAGAAACTGCAGCACCAGCATTTTTCATGGTGCCAAGTCGTATGATACGCTTTTTTGTCAACCCGGTGGAACAATCGAATTTTTTCTCGGGGTGGTTCTTTTTAAATAGCCATTTTTCAATTGAATTGTTTCGCCATCTGCTGAAAAATAACCTCCTGATCTCAAAACCAAAACGGTAATTTACCTGCAATCAGTTTTCGTAAAATTTGAAACGCGTGAGCGGTGATTTATTTTGGCCCAAATTTGTACTACTGAGTTAGGTCCTTTTGGTTAATTCATAGAGTGATTTCGGATAGGGTACACCGTCTGCTCGTCACGCTATCTTATTTTCGGCCGGATAGATTCGTGCAACTTCTTAGTCTAATACCGATCCTATTCTTACTCTTATATCTACTAGTCTCAGGGTGTTTAACTAGTCTCTGCTATGCTCAATAGATCTGGAGTATACTGGTTTATTGCGGCGGCTGAAGTTCTCTTGGAGAGGCAACTAATTTCTAAGTTAAATTCAAATCTCTCTGGTGCTGAAATTACAAGTAATTTCAGCACTTAAAAATAAGTGGGTTGTTAGTTGGATGG